AAATGGAAATATATATGCTTTCCTTTTCCAACAGAAACTAATAAGATTTTATAGGCATATATTTTGCAGTCTCTCTTGAGCCTTAAAGCGATTAGTTTGGCCAATTAAGTTTCTTCGTTCTACGTTTTTCTCTATTTGGAAAAAATGTTGTTACCTCTAATTCTTGTAGTCATATTTTTATCGCCAAGAGTGAAATACAATATTTGATATGCCAATTTTAGTTTGACACTTATCATATTTTTCTTCCACTCCTCCCTACTTATTATTCTTTTTATTATTTTGATCTTTACTTGGGTCCAAGAGTTGTATTATTCTTATTAGTGGAGCCGAATGGTAACAAAGACATATAATTACCTTGTAAAAATTTATTGACACGTGTATCAACTCTCAAGTACAGGTTTAGTTCTGACCTCAATTAAAATTATATGGAAAAAACCGAGGAGCTTTAATCAGAAAGTCTCTTGCTATTTTACATGGAATGGTTGTGAGAGGGGAACATAATAATTTAACAAGGCATTAGAGAAAGAAGAGAATAAAAAATTTTGGAGTGCAGTTGTTCTGATTTCTTCATCAATTCAATTTAAACAGAGAGCATACGTGAGACACCTTAGTTTTGTTCATGACACAAGGAAATGAACCTTAAAAACAAAAATCTTGAACCTGAAATATAGACATATTAGAAAACATAAAATATAAAAGGTTTTGTTAACTATCACAAGCTACTAACATCCAAATAACCATTGGGAAATTATAAAAGAAAACGTTGGACAAAGCATAATTCTGGGGGTTTGACAGGAAAGAATGTCAAACTCTAACGGTGGCAATAAAATATTTTGTTAAGTTTTCATTATATGTGACAGATTCAGCTGCTTATGAGAGCTGCATTTAAGCCAGTTTAACCTATTATGTTAGCAGATCTTTTACGCACCTGGTTCATCTATCTTACATGTGATTCATTGAGATGACAAATTTTAACTTCACAAAAGTTCTATTCCTTTTCATAGATGTTGCACCCTTTTATTACATAATTTTGATGAAATTCTCCTATTAACTATGTCTGGTATATTCTTCATGTTATATTTTCTAATTTGTGGTCAGCCCCATTACTAGTCTGCTTTTGAACCATTCTGATTTCCCCGTTATTTCATTGTTTTTTCTCCAAAGGATTCTTGGCTTTGTAAGCATGGTACTTGTTTTATGGTCACCGGTTGTTGTTCCCTTGATTCCAACACTTGTGCGGAGCTGGACAACAAACAATTCCTCCCCAATAGCTGAATTGGCTTGCATTGTTGGCCTCTACGCTGCTGTTATGATTCTTGTTGTGTTATGGGGCAAAAGGATACGGGGGTATGAAAATCCACTTAAGCAATATGGGCTGGATTTTACATCAGCACGAAAGGTATTAGCTCAGACAGCTTCTTGTATGGGTTTATATTGTTGGAAACACTTTCTTTTACATAGTTGTTTTTTATCATTGAACTTGTTGACTGTGGTGTTAGATGTCTAAGCCAAAATTATTCTGTCAACTAGTGTGGGAGACAGAAGATTTCTACTGGTGATAGTTTAAAGTTTCATGCAAGGAAAACAGTTGAAAAAAAATTCCAAGAGTATTCAGTGCAACTGTGATAAAGTATTTGCTTTAGATGAGGTCTGAAGAATTTTAGAATAAGAAATAATTTCCTTTTTCTCACATTTTTATTAATCGATGATCAGACACATTTTATAGGCAAAAGAAGAAGAAAAGGACAAAAACTAAAAAAAACAGAAAATAGCAGTAAGTATTTTGTTACATTACCAAGTTGTCAATGAAGGAAAAAATAAACAGTAAAAAAGAAAACACTGAAAGTAATTCTACACTCCCCCTCAATTTAGGTTACATAAATTTTTAATAAGTTTTGATTGGATATCAATACGTTGAAAAGTTCTTTGGGAAGTGCCTTTGTTAAAATATCTGCAGTTTGCTGAGTAGTACGAACGTGGAGTATTGTAATAGTTTGATCTTCAATCTTCTCCCTGATGAAGTGTCTATCTATCTCCACTTTTTTAGTTCGATCATGATGTACAGGATTTTTAGCTATGTTGATTGTTGATTGATTGTCGCACCATACTTTCATAGGAGTAGTAACCGAGAATTTCATTTCCATTAGAACTCTTTTTAACCAAATTCCCTCACATATTCTATGAGCAAGTGACCGAAATTCAGCTTCTGCATTATTTCGTGACACAACAGATTGTTTCTTACTCCGCTAAGTGACTAAATTTCCCCAAACGTAAGTACAGTACCCAGACATAAATCTTCTGTCAGTTATAAAACCCGCCCAATCTGCATTTGTGTATATTTCAATATTCCTGTTCATTGTTTTTTGGAAAAATAGTCCTTATCCTGGAGTTTTCTTAACGTATCTTAAGATCTGATATACCATATTCGGATGAACATCAGTAGGTTGGTTCATGAATTGACTTGTAATACTTACAGTAAAACTGATGTCAAGTCTAGTATGAGCGAGATAGATAAGTTTGCCCACAAATCTCTGATATCTTTCTTTATCAACTGGCTTGCCATTTTTAAATCCAACTTTTGTAGTCGTTTTCATGGGTGTTTTTGTTGGTTTACACCCGAGCATCCCTGTTTCTTTCTACAGGTCAAGAACATATTTCCGTTGTGACACAGATCTCTCTTTTAGAACGATTAAATTCCATTCCCAGAAAATACCTGAGTACTCCAAGATCTTTTATCTCAAACTCCGTGGCAAGAAAAGTTTTGAGTTTCTGAATTTTCTCTATGTTATCACCTGTAATTGGGGATTGTATTGATATACAATTAGGATAACTTTTTTACCAACGGCACTGTTCTTGACAAACAAAGTACGATCAGACTGACATTGCTTATAGCCCATATGGTTAACTGCTTTGGTAAATCTGTCAAATCAAGCTCTCGAAAATTGTTTTACACCATAGAATGCCTTTCTGAGTTTGTATACCTAGTGAGTTTCATATGTGGTCTCAAGGTCTAGAGGAACTTTCATATATACCTCTTCTTTTAAATCTCCATTGAAAAATGCATTATTTACATCAAGTTGATAGAGAGGCCAATTAAGATTAGAGGCAAGACAGAGTAATATCCGTATAGTGTTGTATTTAGCCACTGGGGCAAATGTCTCCTGATAGTCTATCCCGTAGGACTGAGTGAAGTTTTTAGCTACTAGATGAGCTTTGTACTGATTCACACTTCCATCAGGATTGTGTTTTATAGTGAATACCCATTTGCACCCAACTTTATGTTTTCCTGGTGGAAGTTCTGTCAGTTCCCAAATCTTATTCTTTTCCAGGACCCTAATCTCTTCTTGAATAGCACTTTTCCACATTGGCAATGCAAAGACTTCATGAATTGTTTTAGGTTCAGTGGGGCTGGCATCAAGTTTACTTACATATGCATGATACTTTGAAAACAAGTTGTTGAATGTAATGTAATCCTGTATAGAGTGTCTAGTACAAGATCGAGTTCCTTTCCGCAAAGCAATAGGTAACTCAGTATCATGATCAGTATTGGTAACAGTGTCAGAAATTGTGCTTGAAAACTCATTACCTGATGTGTTCTTATTGCTTGGAACTGGAATAGACTCATGACAATGTGTAATTGGTTCAGAATCTTTATTAACTGGAGTTTTATGTTTTCTAGTATAGGCACGTAACTCTTTATTGATAGTAGTAGGTATAGGCTCAGGTTCAGACTCTTTGATACTGCTTTCAGGAAAATTTGATGAGGACTCAGGAATAGTGAGGGAAAGAGAGGTGAGAGATGGTGTATTTATATCTCATACTTGATATTCCTGATTAGGACTCTCCCCCTAAATATCAGTAGTGGGATAGAATGACTAGTTTTTAAAGAAAATAACATCCATAGTGTTGTAGAAACGACGGGTTTTGGGACAAAACATTTGTATCCTTTTTGACTTTGTGAATATCCAACAAAAACACATTTAATGGTCATTGGGTCAAGTTTACCCCTGAGGTGAGTATGAACATGGACATAGGATGAACAACAAAAAACTTTATAGGGAAGGGTATGAAGAATATGAGATTGCGGAAAGACCCTGAGGAGAATATCATAGGGTATTCGAAATGAGAGAGTTCGGGAGGACATGCGGTTTATCAAGTATGCAGCGGTGAGAATAGCCTCTCCCCAAAGAAATTTTGGAATGTGGGTA